GGAGAGTTGGGATCCAACTGAGGCCTGAGGCAAGGCCTTGGTGAATCCAGGGGGCAACTAAAAGCTAGTTGGGCTGAAAGGGAGGGAAGTAGGGCAAGAGAAGGTCAGGGAGGCCATGAGAGAGGCAGGCCGAAGGCAGGCCAGGCAGAACCCACAAAGGATAAATGCTTTGTAGGTGTGAGAGGGAGGCGCCCCCACCCCTCAGTGTTTTGATGAGGAAATGACTTGGTCTGTCTGAGGAATAGGCATTGGGCTGTGTGGTAGGTAGTTTATTGTGCCAACCTGGCCGATAAACACATGTTGGGTTAATTGAAGAGCAGAGCGAGAAATGGCTCGGCGAGCCTTGCCTTTCTAGTTCTCGGGTCTCTTTGTGATGGTTGGACCAGGGTGTAGCTGCCTTACTTAGCCAGTTCCCTGCTTCAGCTTGCGAGGCTCACTTCCTGCAAGACATCCCCAAGGAGAAGGCACATGGACCTACCCCACTGCAGCCCTGGGTACTGGAGCACCCGTGTGGAGACCCCTGTCGGCGCTCAGATGCCTACACATTCACTGATATTCATCCCACATGTTCCTATTGACCAGGTTGGCACAATAAACCTATCACAGGCTGCTAACCATAATGTTAGTGGTTCAGAAGCGCCAAGCCCCTCTGCTGGAAAAAGATGCGGCGGTCTACTTGGGTGAAGACGGATGGTGTCAGAAACCCTGCGTGGGGTTGCCAGGAGTCGGAACTGACCTGATGGCAGTCGGGTTGGCTTTTGTTTTTTGGATCAGACTTTTCTGAAAACATCGCAGAGCTTTGGGACTGAGCAGACTGGAGTGAGAATACAGCCGCAAGTTTCCTGGTGCTGCTGTCACAGCAATACCACAAGTGGGTGGTTTTCAAGAACAGAGGTTGACTTTTTTTTCACAATTCTAGAGGCTAAACCAGGGTCTTGGCTTGTGCTGGCCTCTCCTGCCAGTTGTCTGGGCATTCCTGGTTCCTTGGCGGTACTTGCCTTGTAGATGATGCTGTATGTGATGCTCTTCACTCGCCCATGTCTCCGTCTATTCCGTTCTTTCTGTTACTCAGAAGTGATTCGGTGTAGGATCCACCCTACGTGATAGGGACTCTTTAGCAATGCAAAAAAGCTGTTTCCAAACTGTATTGCATCCACAGGTGCAAAGGCCAGGAGTTACACAGACACATTTGGGTGTGGGAAAGGGGAGGGGCTGGGTGTAAAGGCACTATTTAATCTGTAGCATACTAGCGGAGGAGTGGTTACACATTGGGCTGCTAACTGCAAGGTCAGCAGTCCAAAACCATCAACCAGCTTCAGGGGAGAAAGCCAAGGTTTTCCATTCCCGTAAAGAGCTACAGTCTTGCAAGCTCACTGGGGCACTTCTACCCTGTCCTGTGGGTTCACTATGAGTCGGCATCGACGTGAGAACAGTTAGTTACGTTTTGTCACTCTGGGTAATGAATTGCATTAACTTCTCTGAAATGCCCTTTCGTTGTTGGGGACACTATTGGCCACCTGACCAAATTCAATGAGATGGCCAACATGTGACCATTAAGTGGCCTGGGAAAGGTAATGCTCACTGTAAGCATGGCTCGCTCCCTCTCCTGATACGTGACTGCAGCATGCCCATTCCTGCCTGTCGGCCAGAGCGGAGTGGTTACTTGTTCAGTGAGCTCATGTTTCAGGAGGGTGCCAGGCTCTGAGGTAGGGACCACGGACTGGTGTTTTGTGGGGGGATCTCTTACAGAAGATGTGAGGTGCGTCGATTGCCTTGGCAACTGCAAAGGATGCTTTGCTGAACCCTTTGGGTTCACTTCTACAAAGCTGGACAGCATGATGCTCCCGTGAACCACGGCTGGCTGAGCCAGTCGGATCAGGAACTCCCACAGACAGGGATGCGGCGACCTTTACTTTAAAAGAAGCCTTGAGGATATCGGTGAGATGGGCCGGGCCCTGGTGGCATTCTTGCCTTCCCTGTAGAGATTCAGATTCTTTCCTGGCCAGTGCTCCTCCGGCACAACCACCACTGGTCCTCAGTGGAGATCTGTCTAGCCATGACACTGACCAGCTTTCCGCAGACCTTTCAGGCTGAGTCAGGCGAGAAAGAAAGGCCTGGCATTCTACTGCTGAGCAGTCAGTCAGTGAAAACTCTGCGATCACAACAGTTCAACTCTCAACAGGTCATGGGGATGGTGCTGGGTGGG